ATTTACTGCCATCTTAACTCTGCAATCTCTGGTGCTGACCCGCCTCTCCCTCCCTGCTTCCACTGAGCAAACTTCAGGGAGAGGCTCTGCTCTCTCCTGGGCAGCTATTGAACTGTGAACGCGCTGCAGGTGTTCCTGCAAGGGCTCTCCGCTCCTTGTGTGACGTGGCATGGCCGGAACTCGGTGCAGTCAAAACAGTGGCCTTAGCTCTGAAGGACTGTAGCCATCCCACTGTTAGTGACTGCACGCAGGGGAGGGCTGTGGCAGAGTTAACTCCTGGCTCCGTTGCTAAACTGTCGCTGACCATAGGGTAATTAGCAGAGTAGTGTGTCTGTATTCTGCTAGGAGATTATTGGCCAGGCCAGGAACTTGATTTTACCGGGGGTTCAGGTTATTTGGCAACCAGCAATGTCAGCGATGTCTGTTAATACAAGAATAGTGGTAGAAATGTAGCCGTGTTAGTCTGGTGCAGCTGAAACAAAAAACAGGACTGTGTAGCACTTTAAAGATTAACAAGATAATTTAATAGGCGATGAGCTTTTGTGGGTCTGGCCCACGAAAGCTCATCACCTATTAAACCATCTTGTTAGTCTTTAAAGTGCTACACAGTCCTGTTTTTTGTTTCTGTTGATACAAGCGTGATCCAAGCTCATGCTTCAAGGACCAAGTGGATCTCTGGTCAGGAGGGAATCCCAGCCCTGTGTAATGGGCCTAATTGTATAATGGAGTTTTCAGACTCCTAGGGCACATGCTATGTTCCGAGACTTGTTAGTGAATTTCGTCTGTCTGGAATTGACACAGGGATGCTGATTAGCTCATCTGGTCTGGTGTCCCGTTGCTTCCAGTTGTGATACCTTGCGGAAGAAAGAGAAAAGCATCTAATTCTGTCCAGGGGAGGATGGGAAGGAAATTCCTTCTTGATCCCTGCTAGCAACCAGTTTATGCCCCAAGGCATAGAGAACAGCCCAGCCCAACCCAGCAGCAAACATTCCTTCTCCTGTCCCTGTCTGATCCCTCTCTGTGTAGCCTCTGCAGAACAGCTCCTGCTTTTCTGTGACAGCCAAGTAGAAAAACAAAACGAGATCGGTTTGAACCGGGAGCTTTATCCCACCTCTGCACCATGTGTCTGGGGGGTTGTTTCTGAGTCCCCTTCCGCACATAAGCAAACTTAAATGAGACTAACTCCTGAAACTGGCCTTTCGTAGGTACCCAAATGTGATCAGAGGGGCTGGGTGAGTAGGTCTGGGCTCTGGAGCAGGGGTTGGCGGTAATTTTTGATGGGGGGAGGGGGCTGCTCCAAGATTTTGGTAAGTGGTCAAGGGCCACACTTTTCTATGGGGGGTGCGGGGTCTGGGGCAGAGGTTGGGAGCAGATGGGAGGTCAGGTAAGAGATTGGGGTGCAGGAGGGGGTGTGGGGTCTGAGAGGGTGTTTGGGTGAAGGAGCGGGTTGTGATCTGGGGCAGGGGATTGGGGTGCAGGGTCCGGGGG